TAATTGTGGCGAAGAAGAAATAAAAAGGGCATCTCAACTTATTAGAAAGAATGGGTATGGGGGAGTACATTGCTATGACATCATGCTTTACATCAAAGTTTTTTTTGATTAAATAAATTTATAATTAGTCAATTTTTTGTGGTCATCTCCTTACTACCCACACGTGTAAATAATGTATTTTGACCATTAGATTTTCCATATAAAAATACTCATTTTGATAATCATTCAGATTACCAATCCCAATAATAGAATTCAAATTCAACATTAATCCAACTGAGCGCCATACAAAAGTCATCATGTCATTACCACTAAATCACTAACGACGAAAAAAAGAGTAAACATGCCGCCAAAGAAACAAGAAAAAGTGGATCCAATCCCATTTTAATGTATGGTAGTAATAATTACAAAGTTTGAGTAAAACTACATGCGTGTCTTCATTTGGACAACCCAAAAGAATGTGCAGGTGTAAGGATTAAGGAATATTCGTGATTATCTTTATATGTCCAAGATGTACAAAAGTGTGTTTCCATTTCAAACATTATCATTTTTACTTTTTAGTTTTTACTATCTGCAGATGAACTTCAAATTCGCACGTGTGCCCTACACAAAGAGTTACAACATAAGCGGGATAAATGAAATGAGAGTGGAGATGGGAGGGCAATGGAAGATTGACTAAATAAAATGTAATGCAAATTAAATATTGCAATAATGAAAGGGTCCACGCACTACTACTTTCCCATAAAATGGACGGAGTTTATTTGATGTGAAAGGGTGACCCTTTAGAGATTATATTTTAAATAAAGCACTATTCTTTAGAAAAAGTACAAAGTTAAACTTTAGATGTGTAAATTACTCATTTGTTTTTGTTTATCAATAAACTGAACATTTCAAGTTTTCAACTAACAAGAATAGATGTAGTTTTTTGGTTACTACTTTTCTTAATTAAAAGCTAATTAGCTATTGAAGTTTATCAAAAGTTCCTTAAATATTGTATTTTTTAATTCAGTACAACACTAAAATGTTTTACAATTTGGATATTTCAGTTTTGTGAACCCACCCACCATGTGTGTGTTTCTTACTTCTTATGAATGAAGTATGTTTGAATAAAAAATGTTAAAAAAAAACGTATGTTTGAATTAAAAAAAAAAAAAGAATTCTAGCAACCTTAAGATATACTCATTTAGTGGGGAAAACAACTCATTCAATTTAAAAGCCTACTCAAGCTTGCAATAATGGTCCAATGGGCTTTCAATAAGAACAAATGTTAAATTTGGTTTTGACTATTAAGTATCAACACCTCTTCCATTTACCGATCCTCAAATCTATCGGTTTCTATAACAGATCATAAATTACACATCTCCGAATGTGAACAAGACTACAACCTTTTATCTTTGCCAAAAGCACAATAATAGCATGTGAATTTGGGAATGCGGCTTGGATATACTTTCACAAGCAGCTCCAAAAAGATTCAGAGAATTTCATATTTTCTCAAAATGCCAAGGTCTTAGAGACTTAGACCATGTGCAATGCAATATCTTAAATGAGTTTTTAAACATAAAAAAATAATAAAACTGTAAAAAAAGGAAGGAAAAAAGTTAGATACAGCTTTTATATAAGAAATTAAGACCATGTCCATAGAGGGTTTCTAAAAGGGTATGTAAACATTGATATAGTTAAAAAAATTGATTACTATGAGAGAGAAATAAGTAACGTATCTACATAAGTGATTTTACATACTTCTCTTGATTTTTAAAATCACCTCACTTAGTTATTTGTCTACTTTCTTTTTTAGAATTTAATTTAAATCTAAAAATAAAATAAAATAAAAAATATTAATTTTATAATATTTACATACTTACTTTCAGTTTCTAACCGATAGAGATAGCTTAAGAGACTACTTTTAACAATACCAAAATACTTTAAAAATATGTAACATTATATCATTGGTCCAATTATTTTTATATTTAAAAATTAATGTTATAATTAAATTATATTAATATAATATATGTAATAGCTTTCTCTAAGAGCTTTTTCCATTGAACATGGTCTTGTATTATTTCAAAGCTCATTAACTCTTATGAGAATTAAAAACAAGCTTGTGCTTTATGATAAAGTAATGAAGGAACAAAGACCATTAATAAAACTGCAGAAAAAAATCTATTTAAAACATCACACATAGTTGCTTAACATCCAAGTATGTGGAGAGCTGCCACTGGTATTTGATAAAGGCAAAGCAACTACAAAGGGATTAAGAGAACTCCACGTTTTTTTTCTCATACTACCAAAAATCTTATACGTTTATTAAGCTGCATTAACTCCGATATGGATAAACAAAGTGTTAAAAGGGCACTTTTTGGCTCCTGAAAACAATGTCTTATAGTTCCTGCATGCTTCTTAATCAATAAAAACTGTCGGATTAACGAAAAAAAAGTGAAATTGGAACCAATGTTGATAGATTCATATTGTGTTGTATTGCGTGACAACCCACAAATATATAAATCTTTTCTATTTACATATCAGCTAGTTAGTTATTCAAGAATAGTATATTACAAAGTGATTCACATGTTCATTGGTCACCCATCAGGGCCGTGTTTGCCTTACGACTTAATTGGTTACTGCTGTAGTTTTAAGTTTTTTGCTATAGAAATAAATCTGTAAGTTTTTTGTTGTGGCTGTAGATTTAAATTCTGTAGATTTTAGTGCTGTAGGATTATTAATTTTTCAAAGTCCAAATTTTTTCCTTTACATATTTTGCTTTTTACAGCAAAAAAAATTAAAAAAAGAAAGAAAGATCTGTAGCTTTAAAAAATCTGTGTAAAGTATGATTGAGAAAAATTTAGTGTTTTAAAAAAATTATGGCTATGTACAGATTATACAGCACTTACCAGTCAAGCCCTTAGTAAAAAAAAAGCATCAGCCTACGGCCCCATTTTTAAAAAGAAATTTTAAAATACTTTTATTATACTTAGTATGTATCTTTTAATTGTAAAATTGTTGTTTTCAGAGTGTTTTTGTTATTCATTCAGCTACTTTACTTGTTATGATATGTATCCCATCCTGTATAGGATATATTTTGTATAATTTCTTGTTTAATACAATTCTAGATGAAAAAAGTATCTTTCAATTTTAATTTGTTTAATAGGTTAGTAGGCCTAGCTCAAATATAAGTTATATTTATCTTTAAACCAATAATAATATATAGATATAAAAAATAAAATAACATATTAAAAGCTAATATTAATTAAAAAGATTAAAATGAATGAATGATTAGTAGAAAAACAGTTTGTGTGATTTTTTTACTATTGTTTGTCATTTTTTTTTCAGATTTTCTTAATGAATTCATCAAAAATTTGCTATTTTACTTTGATATATTTTACATGGTAAACATTTTTTAGTTAACTTTTATTATTAAAATTTTTTTTTTTTATGAATTTTATTTTTATTATGGCCTACAGCATCAAATGATGTTGGCACGGCTCTGTCTCCCATTTTAAATTGGTTTTTAAAGTGATTTGATGCTAATGGAGTAGTATTCCCATTTAAATTGGTTCTTGAGATGATTTTTAAAAAGTGTAGAGACAAAAAAAAATCCATGTCAAATATCACCGAGTCGTATAGTTTATTTCTGTCATGACATATTCACATGTAATGAAAATTGCTTTATAAACAAAATATCTACATTTTTGAGTATAATCCGAAGACAAAGCCTAAGACCAACATGAGAAACTTTGAACCGCTACTTGAACTTTCACAATTGATTAAAAGGGTTGTATTGAATTAAGAATTTCAGAAGATTGTTTTAAAAGTTTTGTTATTAAATTAGTAGTTTTAAATATTTTATTAAAATTGATGTTATGAAACATGAATTTTATATAAAACTAACTAAAATCATTAAAAAATCAATGTTACTCAATTAATAATTTATAAAAACTAAATCAAATCCATTATTATTGAATATAATTTAAATAGTAGATTTTAAAAAATATTAAATACTTTTATATGATTTGGTAAAATTTGTTACTTAAAATTATAGGAAACTAAATTCTATTGTTTTAGATAGGATTTCATATAAATTTAATATCAAATCATACCAATTTTTATAATCTACATGATATCATCTAAATCTAAATTTCATTAAAGAAGGTGTATTAAAACTAAAATTTTAGAAAATTTGAAAAAAATATGAGTTTTAATGAAATTTTAGATATTATATAGATTAGGAAAGTTGATATGATTTGATATAAAAATTATATGAAATCTTACCTAAAATAATGTGATTTAGTTTCCCTATATCAAATTTCATCAAATCCTACTCAATATATTTTAAAATCTACTATTTAAAATATTTCCTATAACAGTGAATAATTTAGGTTTTATAAATTATTGATTGAAGAACATATTCAATAACATCAATTCAATTATGGTAAGATACTTAAAAATCACTAATTTAATAACAAAGATTTTTAGAACTAACTACCAAATCTGCCGAAATTCTTAATCTAATACACTCCTCTAAACTCAAATCTTAGACCCTCAAGAAAAAATACGCTAAACAAATATTCGATAGAGTAAACTCTAAACTAACATTACTGTGTATTCAAAATTTTAAAAATTTCATCGTCAATCCAAAAAAGGCAAATCAGGCAAAAAAACGACCTTTGTGCGTTGATGAGCAGTTACAAAGAAATAAGAAAATAAATTCGGATAAGTTTTTTCTTTAAAAAGCCACGAGCGACGCAAATTTGCGTTTGCAACCGTAAAATTAGATTGTCAACGGTGGAGTCAGAACAAATGCAGATCGAATTCGAGTTCTAAGTTATACAGATCTCTTACTGAATCTCAAAAATGAAAACCACGTCTCTGATTTTATCTTTATTCCAAAACAAAAAAAGACAGTAAACAACAACAATAACAAAGTGATATGTCAAAATCTCAAATCATACGTGAAACCAAAGATATCTCCGATTTAAATCGACTCTATAAAAATAAAACCCAAAGATCTATAGCGCCTTGAACGATTCAAGGCTCCTGTAATGTTCCCACACCCTTTCCACCACGACGGCCTCGTAGTTCTTCGTCGCACCACCGCCGTTCTTCGCCGCGATTGTCAGATCGTACTTTTTGCCGGAGACGACTTGCTCCTTCCCTTTTACGATCTTCACGTAAACCAGATTCGCCTTCGATTCCTTGTTATGCTCATCAATCGCGTACTTCGCGAGCGCTACAACGTTCGGATCGGATATATCCTTGATCTCCTTCCAGCCACCGAGATTGCCTTCCACGACGGAGATGAGAGGGAGGAGGATGAGAGAGAGACAAATCAACGATTTCATCATTTTTTTTCTCTTTTGATTCTTTTAAATCCTTTTTTTTTTTGTTTTGCAGGTCTTAAACGTTATCGTCGGTTTCGGGTTTATATAGCCGAAATTTCTTTGCTTTGGAATGTGGGCAGATAATTCCAGAAATTTACGGATTGCCCAAACGTCTCATGCGGTGATGAGTCCATTGTCGTTTTTACACCGTCAGATCTGACAGCTGGATATATCCACGTGGCGAAGGAGACATACACGTGAAAGAGTCAACGGAGGCTGTCCCGTCACGTGTACTGTCAAAAGAGTCGTTGTGGAGAGTAATGGAGTTATTGGCATAGCACTAAATGGGCCCAGATTTGTTGATTTGGGCCAACGTGGACTCTCGCGTCGGTAAAACAGTGATGATATTATACGATGTCGGTTGCTTCATGGGGTCAAAAACTTTGGAGGAATTTTTTGTTCGAAGTCTAGTTAACGTTGACTCACATCGAACCAAGCGAATGATATCGAAATATGTCTTAGTTCTAAATTGAGCACAAGATCTAAAATGTTCTGTAATAACACTATTTATAGAATACACTGATACTTTTGTCCTGAATTGGGCATCTTCTTTAATAACACAAAGTCAATATTAAAGATGCACCAAATTTAATTATCGTGGATGCAATGAGGCTATGTTTCTTAATTTTAAAGATGCACCAAATTTTATAAAATGGAAGTAGTATATATTTTAGTTTAATTATTTATGGAGCTATGTTTCTTTTTCTTTTCCTTTTTTTTTGGTCTGATTTGTTAGTTTAGCAGTTTGATTTTGCTTGTTCTCCCTTAAGAATTTTGAACCGAAAATTTATTGAATACTCTATTTTTTATATATAATGTTTAAGATTTTTATACATAAATTAAGAAATCATTTAATTTTGTATTTTTCCAAAATAAAACATTCTTAATCATCAGTTCCAAAACAATTCAACCAATAGAGAAACAATATATACAGAATTCAAATACTTAAAAGAATAAAAATATAATTAATTTCTACATAGATACGTAAGAACATCAACTATATTTAAACTAAAACAAATGGCGTCCCATTTATAACATTAAATTTTGTTTATGCTATTTTCTGTGATAAGTAACTCAAGTGAATGAAACACACTACACACAGAAGATATATAGGAACGTGAATGACATTAAACAATAGTTAATTTAATGAATAAAGATTAAAGGATTTAAAACGAAAACGTATTCGCTGCTAAAGTTACATTCTTTGGCTCATCCCAAAGTTTGTCTAGGGCTTCAATAGATCATTTACCATATCCTTATGTCTATGTCTTCATGAAGGGTTCCACATATCTTATCTGACACCCACTTCCATGAAAATAGAGACAACGACCTTTTGTTTTGGATTAGACGAGTAGATTGCGACTAAAGTATGGGAAACGAGGGTGTATATAAAGAGGATAGGAGAGAGTTGGGCTGTGGAACACCGTCGCTTTCTCAATGCATCCACGATAACTAATGTTTCCATTTGAGACATTACTTTTTTTTGTTAATGCTGTTGATTGTGTGATAAGTAACTCAAGTTTTTTTCGGATATGGCTTGTTGCTCTGTTAGTTACGCTGTTAATACGTGCCGTATGCGTCTGCATGCAACCGCATCACATCGTCGCCGATCGAATCAAATCTCCAAGTAACGGATCCCTTATTGAATCTCAAAAGGCATACCTCTGCTCTGATAGTCAGATTTATTATATAACATTACAACAAATTGTCAAAAATCTCAAATCATCAGAAACCTATAGATGTCCCGATAGAGATTAAAAAAATAAAAATAAAATCCAAACCAGGTCTAATTAATAAGGCCTGAAAGACTCAAGGACCCTGTAAAGCATTGACTCAACTCGAAACACGGTGGTGGCCTCGTATTTTTTTGTTTTACCAGTGCGATCCTTGGCCTCGAGTATAAAAACGTACCTTCTGCCGGCGTCAGATTGGGTCTTTCCCTCGAGGTTCCTCACGAACACCAAATTCGCATTCGTGTTCTTGTTATGCGCAGCAACCGCAAACCTCGCAATCTGCACCCACCGCGACTCCAGGTTCGATCCCGCTGCACCCTCGATCGGCTTCCAGGGGCCGGAGGATCACGGGCTTGCGTGTCGGCAATGAGAGGGAGGAGGATGAGAGGGAGGCAGATCAACAACTTCAACATTTTTTTGTTGTTCTTAATCTTCCATTTATATGATTAAAGGCTGAATGCACATACTTTATTAGTGATGTACAAAAGTATATATACAGTCACGATTGCAAGTAGGGTCTTCTTAACCTGTCGTTGGTTTTGGGGGTTTCTATATTTGGTTTTGCTTTGGGATGTGGGGCAGATAATTTCCAGAAATTAAAGGAAACTCCAGTCCGAAAATCTTTAGGCTTTGTTTTCCTCAGATTATAGAATATATTTTATTTTCTACTTCAATATTCATTCAATTTTTTCGATAATCATCTATAGTTTAGGATATATTATTAACTAGAAGATTGACCCGGCATACATAAAGTTTTAAATAAAAATAGATTAATTTTAATATTTGATAAAAAAATATCAATTATAATGAATAGATGATTGATTAGTTGTGTTGATTATAGGAAAATGAAACACACCGAAATTGGGTACGTAAATGTATTTCTAAAATAGTCTTGCAATCGAACCTATATAGGAAAACGAAACGCACAGAAGATAGGAACGTAAAATGTAAACATATATAATCATCGTCAGCCCAAAAAGACGATTTTTAGGCAAATATCATCTTCGTGCGTGTTCAATTGTAAACAAATGATAATAAGATATGTCATAAGTTACGAGGGGCGTACGTATGCGTCTGCATGCAACTACAAATCAAATAATTGAACTTTCAAATTTCAGCAATTCTAAACATCATCTCTTTTGTATGATCCATTTAAATTACAAACTTTTCATTGGTCGATGTTAAAATCACAAATTTATGCTTGACTCAATCATTTTAGGCACGACGTTAACATCAATTAACTAAACGCCGTTTGGTCAACGTGTGTTAGTGAATTCAAGGCCATGCCTAATATAGCTAGTCAACATAAACTTATAAGCATTAAGTTTTGCATAAACAGTTTAAATCACAAGCTTTTATATCATTATCTTTTAAATCACAAACTTATGTTGACTAGCCATATTAGACATGACATTGAATTCACTAACAGACGTTGACCAAACAGCGTTTAGGAATGTTAAGATCATGTCTAAAATGGCCGAGTCAACATAAGTTTGTGATTTTAACATCGGTCAATGAAAAGTTTGTGATTTAAATGGATCACACAAAATATGATGCTTAGAATGGCTGAAATTTGAAAGTTATTGAAACTTAAAAAAAACTGACCTATGATCGTATAATAGTACGAGGGGCGTACGTGCCGTACGTATGCGTCTGCATGCAACTACAACACATCGCCGTCGATCGAATAAAATCATCCAAGTAACATATCTCTTATTGAATCAAAACAAGTAACATACTCATGATAGTAATATATTTTATTCCAAATTATAATATTAATTACAACATATTGTCAAAATCTCAAATCATCCGGAACATATATGTATAATGTCCCGATATAGAAATCGACTTTTACACAAAAAAACCCAAATAAATTAGGTTTATATTGGCCTGAAAGACTCGAGTTTCCAGAAAAAGTGACCATCCGGCATAGTTTCAAACACAGTGGCCTCGTATTTCACGATCCTACCAGAGCGATCCTTGGCCTCGAGTATCAAAACGTCCCTTGCGCCTGTGTCATATTGCTCCTTTCCCTCGAGGTTCCTCACGAACTCCAGATTCGCCCTCGTGTTCTTGTTATGCTCATTAACCGCAAACATCCCCATCTTTTCCCACCATGACAACGATACTGTCCTGATCCGCTTCCAGGGACCGGCAGGCTCACGGGCTTGCGCAGTGGTGATGAGAGGGACGAGGATGAGAGTGAGAAAGATCAACAACTTCATCATTTTTATTTTGTTGTTATTGTTGTTGTTGTTAATCTTTTCTTTATAGGATTTAATTAGTGATGTACGAAGTCTATATATACACGATTACAAGTCGGGACTTCTAGATTTGGGGTTCCTTTGGAATTTGGGAAGATAATCTCCAGAGATTTACAATCTTAATTTAGGGGTTATTGGGAGATAGATTTTAATTTTTTTTTTCAAATTCTGAGATTTTTAATAGCCGAAATTTATAGATTTGGGTTTACTTTAGAATTTGGGCAGATAATCTCCAAAGATTTATGGAGAGTCCAATCTTAATTTAGACTTTTCTTTTTTTCTTGCAGATTTTAGATTTATAGATTTGTTTTTTTTTTTCCTTTTTAATAGAATATCCTCTATATATTAAAAGAGAAGTATTTTTAAAAAATAACATTTATTTTGTAAAATATTACAGTGGTGCCATTTTACTGATGTGTCATCACCAGAATTATTTTTAGAAAGTTATAAAAATAGACTTATGTTACTAGATTAATTACATGTTATGCCACTCACATTAATTTGGTTATACATTAATTTATATTAATTATATTGATGATGATTCATCAAGATATTCTCTTTTCTATTTCTTACCAAAAATATATTATATTAATTATCTCTTTAAATACTATATTTTATTTCCTATTTTATAGAAAAATAAATCATCACATCATATAGTAAAATATATATACATATATATATATTTTTGTGTTATAATTCGAATTTTATTAAATAAATATAAATAACTCAAATAATTAATAAATAAAAGTATGTTTTAAAAGATTAAAATTGAAAATAAGGATGTGTAGATAGATTATTCATAAATAAATATAAAAATACATAAATGATAAAAAAACAGAAAGCTTAATTTAATAGATATTATTATTTTTAATTTATACAACAACATAACTTGGTAAATAAATTAAAATATTTTTGTAAGGATATCATAGAATAATTTTATTTAAAGTTTTGATATTGAAAATATTTTTATTAAATCAAAAAGTTAAGAATGTATAAGTATTGACTATGTTATATATAATTTTAAATAATTTATTAAAAATCTTATGTATATTTAGTATTTAAAATAAATTTCACAGTAATTTTCTTTTCTGAAAAGTTAATTTTCTTATGACTATAATTTTTGCGGGTTAATCTACATATGCATTTACATTCATATAAGAAATATTAAAATCGATTATAAAATCTTATACTCAAATTTTATTTTTACAATTTTAATTATCTCTATTTCAAAATATAAGTTGTTTTGCATCAAAGCATAAAGATTAAAAAACAACTTTTTCTAAATAAAAGTAATCATTTAGTATATAAATTAAATATAATTCAACTAATTATCATAAACTGAAAAATATAATCGACCACATAATGTTCATAGGAAGTAGTAAAAAAATATAAACACAACTATATTGTGAAACAAAACAAAATCTTTTAAAAAAACTAATATTATGAAACAGAAGAAGTAGTAAATTTTTTTAATTATTATCATAACGCATTCGATACTTAATAATTTAATCAAAATATACTCCCTCTATTTTTTGGAATTTTAAGATCATGTTATTAATCATGGGTTATATAATGTATAAAGAGGGACTTCGTATTTCTATCCGAATTACGCATATATATTAAAAGAGAATCATTTTTAAAAAATAACCTTTATTTTGTAAAATATTACAGTGATGCCATTTTGCTGATGTGTCATCACCAGAATTATTTTCAGAAAGTTATAAAAATAGACTTATGTTACTAGATTAATTACATGTTATGCCACTCACATTAATTTGGTTATACATTAATTTATATCAATTATATTGATGATGATTCATCAAGATATTCTCTTTTTCTATTTCTTACCAAAAATATATCATATTAATTATCTCTTTAAATACTATATTTTATTTCCTATTTTATAGAAAAATAAATCATCACATCATATAGTAAAATATATATATATGTATATATTTTTGTGTTATAATTCGAATTTTATTAAATAAATATAAATTACTCAAATAATTAATAAATAAAAGTATGTTTTAAAAGACTAAAATTAAAAATAAGGATGTGTAGATAGATTATTCATAAATAAATATAAAAATACATAAATGATAAAAAAAAACAGAAAGCTTAATTTAATAGATATTATTATTTTTAATTTATACAACAACTTAACTTGGTACTTAAAAAAAGGAAAAGTAAGTGGCTTGTTTGGAATATGTTGTAATTAATATTAAATTAAGCTTCCTGTTTATATGTTGTAATTAATATGTTGTTTGGAATATGTTACTGTTACATTATATACTTTTGAAAGTATGATTAATAATAAAAACTGTAAAAACTATGACTGTTACTTATATATATTTTATAATTTTTTGTCTAAAACATAAAATATATATTTTATTCTATTAAAAATATAAATATGTAAAATAAATTAATTTTTATTAAATTTTATTGTATTCAAAACAAATAAATATAACAATTGATCAATTATTTAGGGTAGAATGGATCTTAAAATACAGAGAAAAAGTATTAATAATTAAAATAAATTTGTTATACAATTTATATAATGTTATAGAAAGATTTTTAAATATTGGAAAAAGAAGAAATAAGGAAAAGAAATGTTATTATATTTTCTATTTTTCTCAAAGTTTTTAAAAGTCTGTTTACGGAGACTTAAAAAAAACTGAAAATAAAAAACAAAAGTGACTGTAGTCCAAAACAATAGGCTGTCCATGTCTTTATGAGGGATGCCAAAACAAGAGGCTGACTATATCTTCATGAGGGGTGTCAAAACAATAGACCGTATACAGTGGCAAATCAAGGAATTGTTTTTAACGGGTCAAATTAAAACTAAAAACCAAAAATATATAAAGAAAATATGTGATCTGGTGTCATTGTTAATAAACCTGCGTAAATTATAAGTTAGAGAGGGGAAAATGAGTTGAATGGTTGATTCCTCCAAATTCTTCTAAAAGTCATTTTAGTTGAATATATATTCTGCAAACACAGAATCAATTGTGCATCTTTGTTAATAACACAAAGTCAATATTAATGCACCAAACTAATCGTGGGTGCAATGAGGCAGCGACAATGATACTGCTTCTTACCAGAGTTATGCTTTAGTTTGATGACTTATGGTTATGGACCTATGCAGGTTCTTTTTTGTTTTGGTTTGATTTTTGATTTTAGCAGTTTGATATAATCGTTTGTTTCTCTGTTAAGAATTAAACCAAATAATTAGTTAAATCTATTCGAAGAATGAACATTGCCATGTTTTCCACATGGAGCGAAAACTGGCGTTCCATTTGAGACATTATTAATAGTTTTGTTTTTTATAAGTAACAAAACTGACGAAGAATGAGCAGTTTGATATAATCGTTTTTATAGTTTTTGTGCCATCTTCGGATAACCTCCATTTTTAAGTTACGAGGGGTGTACGTGCCGTCCGTATGCGTCTGCATGCAACTACAAGTCTACAACACATCGTCGTCGATCGAATAAAATCATCCAAGTAACATATCTCTTATTGAATCAAAACAAGTAACATACTCATGATAGTAATATATTTTATTCCAAATTATAATATTAATTACAACATATTGTCAAAATCTCAAATCATCCGGAACATATATGTATAATGTCCCGATATAGAGATCGACTTTTACACAAAAAAATCCAAATAAATTAGGTTTATATTGACCTGAAAGACTCGAGTTTCCAGAAAAAGTGACCATCCGGCATAGTTTCAAACACGGTGGCCTCATATTTCGCGATCCTACCAGAGCGATCCTTAGCCTCGAGTATCAAAACGTCCCTTGCGCCTGTGTCATATTGCTCCTTTCCCTCGAGGTTCCTCACGAACTCCAGATTCGCCCTCGTGTTCTTGTTATGTTCATTAACCGCAAATGTCCCCATCTTTTCCCACCACGACAACGATACTGTCCTGATCCGCTTCCAGGGACCGGCAGGCTCACGGGCTTGCGCAGTGGTGATGAGAGGGACGAGGATGAGAGTGAGAAAGATCAACAACTTCATCATTTTTGTTGTTGTTGTTGTTGTTGTTAATCTTTTCTTTATAGGATTTAAGGCCGAATGAATACTTTATTGGTGATGTACGAAGTATATATATACACGATTACAAGTCGGGTCTTAACATGCCGTTGGTTTTTTATAGCCGAGACTTCTAGATTTGGGGTTCCTTTGGAATTTAGGAAGATAATCTCTAGAGATTTACGGATAGCTCAATCTTAATTTAGCCTTTTTTTGTTGAAGATTTTAGAATAGATTTTTTTTTTTAATTAATTGAAGATACCCCAATTGACATCATACCATGTTTCATAAATGTAGGAGTCAATGCACAAGTATGTTTCAGAAATTTAATCCGGTTGTTTCAGTATCTTGTTTAAGTTTATTATTGAACCATAATATGACGTATATTAATATATTAATAAGTAATAAACAATTTGTGGGTTTTGGATAATAGATCTTATTAGTAAATAATTACAAGGTGGCATGACCTAGAAGTTTTGTCGAAGTAAATGAAAGAGTTTTTAGGGTAATGAATTAGAAAACTCAGAACTATATATCATGTTCTTCTGTTCTCTAGGGATTTCGAATTGCTCTTCAAACTGTTTAAAGTTTTCTATTTATAAGATTGAGAGGTCGGTTGGTACGAACTTTTTTTTTACTTTTCTCTTTTGGGGATAATTCCCATATTTTAAATATGGAAATATTTTTTTTCTCTAATTTGATGGAGATTTCCCTTTATCTCTAATGAATCTCTTTTCATCTATAAGTCGGCGTGATTCTCCTTCTCTCAATGTGCTTAGTTTATTGCTAGAGAAAACTTTCTAAGAAATATGCTCATTTCCACTCTAACAATAAGCCCCTCCCCCAAGTTCGTCGACGTGATTGCAAATCAGCTCGGCGGACTTCATGAAGTGAAGTTGGTTTGATCTTGCAATAAGTATCAGCTCGTCGGAAGTGTTTCTTCGGGAGTGCCTTTCATAATTTCAGCTTGGCGAGCCCTTGGTTTTAGATCAAAAACGCATCGTTTCAATAGTCTTTGCTTTAATGTGCCCTTCATGCAGCCCTTTTTTATTTAGGGTTTTTGATAAGCGGGAAAGACAAACGTTCTTGGCAAGGACATCGAAAGCCGATTAATGCATCCTTCTGATGAACCATATGTTTTCCTTCCTAAATTCTTTCTTCTGCCTCTACTTGAATCTTCTTGATTTTTCAAAGTATTAGTCCCAGTCTCTCGTTGTTCCGCTGCGTCTGCTTCCAAAATCTTTTGGCAAAGATGGGTTTCAGGAAAAGGAACAAGATCCCCTTAGTAGAGACTGCTATTACAGAGGGTTCTCTGATTAAAAAGCCAAAGACCAAGACTTCCCTGAGAGTGCCATCATTGTCGGAGAGCATCCCGTCGATTGATGATAGCGCTGCTGGAGTTACAACTCTCAATTTGGTGGAACCATGTTCCCAATACTTTTTTCATTCCCGTCGAGGGTTTCAACTGAGAATTTGGCGAATGCCGCTTCAACTAGAGGACAAGATCCTGAGTCTACTGAAGCGGAGGGTGAAAACGCTGATTCCTTGTTTGCTGCAGAAAATTCCTCAATGGATCCGGAAGGTCGGAGAAATGTCGACGACGGTCCCAATTCTAAACCTCATTAAGATTAGCAATGGAACGGAAATTCTCCAACAATGTTTGATGATCATTTTGCTGCCAATTTGATATGGCATTGTAGAGCCAAACTGAATACAAGAATTCCTGTCGAATAGTTGAAGCAGTTGGAAAATTTCTCAGGGATGACCCAACGCTTTATACAGGTTTGTTCTTGCGTTCTTTCTTTGAACCTAACCCTCTCTCTTTGTATCATTCTTTCAGAATCGTTGGTGAAATGCATTTAGGGGCTCGAGATTTGTACGTCTTTAATGGAATTATATGATGAAGATTTGTCACGCAAGAAGAGTTAATTCGAAGATCTATTGACTAAAGACCGAGAGCTTCGTTGTGCAGAAAAGAAGATTAAAGAAACTGAATGCAAAAATATTGATCTCGAGCTTGAGATTCAGAGGCTCAAAGTAGAGTCAGCAAGAGAGAATCGGTTCCATAGAAAGATTCTGGAGAAGAGAGCCTTCGAAGAGGGAGAGAGAAGTGCTGCTGCAAAGGAGAAGTGTCAAAAGTCTTTTGAGAGGTCGGTTCAATATGTTGCTCGAGATGTTCACCAGTGCAGTTATGACAGTCATCATCATCATATCTGCCAAATAAAGGCCTTATCTCAGAGGGAATAGATTAATAAGCTTAAAATTGATATTGCCAAAATGGAGGCATCAATAGCTTGCTTTGAGCAGATACAGTCTGGCGGTTACAATGTTACTATCGACGTGCTTTTATCTCCCAAGTTTAAGCTTGATCGACTGAACGTGAAACGATGTGGCATCAAAGAGATTACTTTCTCGAGCGATGAGTTTAGCCCCCCCCCCCCCCGGGAAAGGTTAGTTTTTCTCACGAATTTGCTCCTTGATTCGTCTTTGCAGACTGCTCGTTAACCTTGCTCTGTTTTGGGTAAACTTACTAGGCCTGTTTTTCATAAATAGATTCTGATGTCTTCATCCATTCTAGGCCGGCAGAAGCTCACTCATTTTTCGCAGACATAAGACTGACAAGAGCAGGTGCTGGACTGCCGGGGTGATTTGTATCAGGACGTCGCAGAGTGCTGAGAGGACGTGATGGTGCTTCGTTGCAAGCATTTGTACAAGAATGCTTTGATGCTTGAATTTCATTTTTATTTTTTTGCTTCGGAAAGCGATAGGGCCCCAATTTTGTTATAGATAATCAAAATAATTGCAGTTTGCGGTGTACTCAAATATTTATAAATGAAGCCTGCAAATTTCTTATCCCTTTGAGAACTTTGCACAAACTGACTTTTCAACTTGTGATGCGGGGAGACTTTTTAGTTCGGTGTTGAAAGCGGGGTTTATCTGCCCATCTTATACCAAACGACAACAAGATCGAATACCACGTTTTAAGATCGTGCAAGTGTAATCCTTGGCTTTCATCTTGTCCACTTCAGAAGTAACTAAATTGAATCGAAACTTCAAAAGGTGGTGATCAGCCATATGATTTACTCATATTTCAAAGTGGAACGTTTGGCCAGAACGTCTATTCTATTAAATGCATTCACATAGGATAGTTTATGCTTGAGGAGAACTTGTCAGAGACAACCGGTCCACCTGCCGAACTAGATTTAAAAAGGGAAATATAAAATTAAATTTATTAGATTTATGACTGAACCTGAAGGCTGCCTACGTACCCAAATTGTGATCAAGTCACCTGTTGTTCCTTGTAACTATTTAACAAATCGAGACCCGAATACCGAGCTGCTTTTCCCTTTCTTTTTAGGAATAGAACTTCCTCAAGTTTATTGAGATCCGTGCTCGTTTAACTTGCTTTCAGTTTAGCTTTTCTAGTCTATAGACACCGGGTTTCACAATCCTCGTGATTCGGTAGGGTCCCTTTTTGTTCAGCTTTGTAGGATTATTAACCTTTGGTAAGACGAGGTCGTGGAGTGCAAAAAGCCGACTGCATACATTTTTGTTGTAGTATCGAGAAATTTGTTGTTGATAATTCTGTATGCGGAGTAAGGCTTTGTCGCGATGTTCTTCCAGATTTTCGAAGTTGTCGATTAATATTTTATCGTTTAATCTCGAGTTTTTAATTATCAAAGCTCGACGGGTGCTGGCGATGTGGGCTAGTGCTAAGGCTTCGTATCTGTGGGATAATGAGAATTGGGTTTCACCAGTTGCTGTACATAGGGGACTTCAGTAGGACCACAAGACTCCATCGAGCTCGTCAGCCCAATTCTGTTCGAAGGTAGTTAGTATTTTCTTTAAACCATCGGGGATGTTTTAATTAGTTGCCTCGACCTATCCATTTCTTTAAGGATAACGTGGCGTTGAATAGTTTAGTCGTATTCCTCAGCGTTTGCAAAATTCTCGGAAGATTGATGAGTTGAATTGAGTTGTGTTATCCGTGACAATTTTATACGTGAGGCCATGCCGGCAAATGATGAATTGACAAACAAAAATATGGATGTGCATTGCCTTGATACTTTGATATGCTTTAGCCTCTACCCATTTAGTAATGTAATCGATCATAACTAGAATGTATTCATAGCGTCCAAACTTTAGCATCGGTCCGATTATATCCATTGCTCACCGCATGAAAGGATAAGGTCGAACAGCTATTTGAAGGAGCTCAGTGGGCTCGTTGATGAAGGATGCATGATTTTGACAAGGTTCACATCACACTACAAATTGTTCGCAATCTTCGATCAGTTTTGGCCAGAGCAGTCAAAGTGATTTCTACCTGCTCTGTCGTAAGTCTCAGTCATCACGTCCTTGCCCGGTTTTCGTTGCAACATATTAAGATGACTTTATTAGCGTTCCATCGGAAGAGATCGCTGTCCTGAACGAAGTACTGGGCTGCCTTTTTACGGAAGCGTCTTGCTGCCCATCTATCTTGTGGGACCGTTCCCTTTACTAGGTAGGCCTTGATTTTGTCTTGCCAAGGTTGCTTATCTTCCTTGTCGTCGACATCAATTGGGTCATCGTCTTCATCGTCTTGATTTAAAGTCATGTTGCATATTTTTTTAGAGAACTGTATATTGGGTTGTTCGATGACTTATACTAGGATTATCCGGCAAAGTGCTGAATATGTTGAAGAAGCGAGGCAGCGGTATTCTCAGCTCTTTGTATCTTTGTGAGTTCAAAGGAGTCAAACTGCTTGGTTATTTCCTAGACCTGTTTTAAATAGGCATTTATTCGTTCGTTTTTGGCATCATATTCTCCGCTAAACTGGCAAGCTACGAGTTGGGAGTCGCAGAAGGCGTGAACATTCTTTGCTCTAATTTCTTTCACAAGTCAAATTCTGGCTATTAGCGCTTCATACTCAGCCTCATTATTTGAGACTTGGAAACCGAACTTGAAGGATTGCTCAAGAACTTCACCTGTTGGGGGATCTTAATCGGATG